GTCGTTTGTTGCCGCGTCATTTAAAATTTTTTGATTAGATTTCTTTATTTAAAATAATGTTTTTCATGTTTTAAGTGTTTATCACGTTTTCCGTATCAATGCGTATATATATATATATATATATATATATATATATATATATATATATATATATATATATACGCACACACTATTTCACACCTTTAGCACGACTCTGAGTTTGAGTTCAGCACCGAAGAGTGCGTCGCATGAAACTCAGAGTCGTGCTAGATGTTTGAGAAGTATGTATATTTATTAATATATACATTTATATATATATATATAGATATATATGTATATTTGCTGTTTCTTTACATTAAGCTTCTGTTTCGTTAACACCTGCACCATATGTGCCAAATGTTGTGATTTTATTGCCATATATATCTGTATATTTGTGTATTTAGGCGGCAAATTCTCTTGTAAGCATGTCTGATTAAGTAAATTACAAACATTATGTCTCTTTATTTTTAGCATAATCCTTTCATATTCACGGATATTTTTCTGTGTATTACAATCAAATGATGAAAGAAATGCACTGTATCAGTGAAAATCACTTTTATTCTCCAAGTTCTTTCGATCTCTTTCTGAGATCATCAGTAGGGGTGCAACTGGTAATGCAAAAACTATGTGTAGCCATCCATTAATGTAGTTTTTCCTTTTGCGTTTAAATGTAACGGATGACAATTATGGTTTTGCGTTCATTAGAACATGAAAATTTATCCATTATGCAATTTTTTCTTTTATGTTCGAATGTGATGGTCAAGCGCGCATTAAATCGTGAAAACTGTTCTTTTTATAGGCATTTTAGAACATTTTACGGTATTCGTAGCTGAGCTTATTCAGTGTCAGCTCCAATTTTTTTAATGCAGATTGTTTCAAGGATCTGTAGTTTTAATTTGTTATTTTCTTGGTGTCTAGTAGTTGTGTTATCAATCCGTATTTCTATACTGCGAATGTAGACAGGAATGTTGGTGTAAATGTCTCGCAATGGACGACTGGTCAGTCATCTGTAGAGTAAGACGTCTTGATAATGTAGAGATCTTATATCCAACATATATATTTGTTTCTCTGTCGGAGTTGCATTCTCCCAAAGGATATTAGAATTGATATATAATGTTGGTTTTAAGTAATACATCACTTGGCGGGGAGGACTTATTGTGAATAATTAAATTGGTTGTATTGCATTTTGTATGATATGTGATCAACTTTATTTTTTTATTGGAATCTATGGGAGATGTATTGGTACGAATGTGGATTTTTAAGATTTTCTCATTCTGTTTTAGTTAGAATGCATCTGGTTACAATATAAGAGTTTGATATATTTAGGGTCCTTTGAGGAAAGTACAATGTTCTATTTGACGTGTGTTGTGTTTTTTGATTAATCGTCTTATTTGTTCATCTACAATGTTGTTTGGGAAGACATTATTAATGAGAGTCTTCTTAATATTTTTTAGTTCAGTATATAATTTTTTTTATGGAGGAATTAATTTGTGTTCGGTTAATTAAATTCCGTATATGCGCTGTTTTGTAGTCATTAGGACATTCACTCTTATAGAGAGTGCAAGAGTTTTTGCTGGTTGTTTTTTTTTTATATAGGGAAGTAGTAAATGTGTGATTATTTGTGTCTATCAAAATGTCAGTGAAACGAATTTTGTTATCTTTGTTAAGTTCGTATGTGATCTTGAGGTCAGAGTTTTTTTGAAAGTTCTTTTTTTGGAATTCAAGTATTTCTTCTATGTTTTTAACTAAAATAAGAATATCATCTACATATCTTAGATAGATGGACGATTTCTTGGTGACGCTAAATATATAATTTCCTAGGTTGGCCATGTAGATGTTGCTGAAGGTTGGACTCATCAGGTTGCACATATACATAATTTCTGTGATCATAGAATGAGACTTCAGTGGTACAGGTTAAAAGTAATTTTCTTAATATTCTAGACTTAATTTTTAATGGGGTTAGAGATGAATTATTACATACATTTTTAATAATAATGTCAATGGTTTCTCTAACTCGAACGTTAGTGAACGGATTTTCAACGTTAAGTGATGCTATAGTTTAATTATTAGGCCTTTCAGGTTTTAATATTTGTATAAGTTCAAGGGTTGATTTAATGCTGTATTTGTTAGGTATGTATGATGTAATTAATTGGTTAAGCAGTTTTAGTCATTTGGTAGACAGGAATGGGAATATGGGATATAATAGGTTGGAGTGGAAAGTTAAGTTTGTAAATATATCCTGGTTTATAGTCTCTGATTATTTTAGTAAGTTTTTGATTGTTTTGTTCCGCTTTGTTAGCTGTGATTAATTTATTAATTTTCATTTTTAGCTGAGTTGTAGGATAAAGTTTTCTAAATGTGATGTGATCATCAAATAGCTCTTCCATTTTTGAGTTGTAGTCGGACTTGTTTAAAACAACAAAGATGTCCGCTTTATCAGCTTTTTGTAATTACTATTTCAGGATGGTTGCGTAATTATTTT